CGGTGACGGACCGCAACCGTGTGGCCGTCTACGTGGACGGAGTTGCTGTGGTGGGGCTGGAGGCTGACCTGGTGACCTCCGACTGCGAGCGGGTCGCCGCGAAGCTGGAGGCGCTGGGCCTGAAGTGCAAGGGCGTGGAGGCGGCTGGCTCGGACACCACCTTCACAGGCCTGAGCTTCGAGGTGGCCTCTGGCAAGATACGGCTTTCTCGGTCACGGACGTGGAAGTTGAGGCTGGCTCTCCTGCACACGGCCTCCCGCGGGTGGGCCTCGGGAGACGAGCTTCGGCATCTCCTTGGCCACTGGCGCTGGGCAGCGATCCTGCGGCGTGAATTGCTGAGTGTGTTCGCGCAGACGTACAGGTACATCGCCCTGGCCGGCTCCAGGAGGTGGAGGCTCTGGCCCTGCGTGGAGGCCGAGCTGCGGCGGGCCGCGGCCTTGGTGTGCTTCGCGTTCGTGGACGCCAAGCGGCCCTACAGCACGGTCGTGGCCGCGTCCGACGCTTCGGGGGCCAGCCGCCACGACTTCGGCGGGCACGGCGTGATGGAGACGGACTGGGACCTGGAGAGCGTGAGGGCCGCGGCAGGCCAGGCCGAGAAGTGGCGGTGGTGTGTCTCAGATGCCATCGCTGCTCGCGCCCAGACGCTCGGCCTGCCGCAGGAGCAGGGACCAAAGCGTCCAATGTCTCGCCAGGCAGGAGTCACTTTCGAACATATCACGCCCAGCCAGATGGGCGACGACAGCAGCTGGCGCCTCTGCGCAAAAGGTCGTTGGCTTCGTCATGAGAACATCCTGCGCACTGAGGGGCGAGGGGTTGTACTGGGGCTTCGGCATCGTCTACGTTCCCGGGCGTCCCAGGGAGCTCGTCACTTGTTCCTTTGTGATAACATGTCCATGGTGTTGGCCCTCAGCAAGGGCCGGGGATCTACTTCAACAGTCAATCGTACGTGTCAAGAGGTTCTTGCACTCAGTTTGTTTGCCAACGTTCACTGTTGTTTCAGATGGATAGCGTCAGAGATAAACCCAGCAGACCGACCGTCGAGAGCGTGGCCATCTCGGCCCGAGCCGCGGGACCCTCGGTCAGATCCACGATCGGCATGGTACCTTGATGCTCACGCGGCCGCCGCCCGCCTCGACCTGGCGCTCGAGGGGGAGATCGACAACTACCTCCTCCGCCAGCCAGGCGGGGCAGAGGCGGCCGGCCTCTGCGGCCTCGGGAACACCTGGCTGGACGAGCCTGCTGCGGCCTTCGGTCGGCGGGTCGAGTCAGCCGAGTCGCCACCAAGTGGAGCTGCCGAGGCGGCGTGGAGCAGCTCTTCAAGCAGCTCAGGCGAGGAGGAGCCGACGTGCGACGCTGAGGCAGACGCAGAGAGAGGCAGCTCAGGAGGCGGCGCCCGCGGGCCTGGGCTACATGCAGGCATCGCGGGCACAGCCGCAGACGGTGGCCTACTACCGGGTCATCCTGAGCGAGTTCGAGAGGTGGGCCGAGGAGCAGGACCTCAAGTTGGAGACGCCGGAGGAGATGGACCAGGCCCTGTCCGCCCACATGGACTCGCTCTTCTTCGAGGGCTACAATCGCGATCAAGGAGAAAAGTTGATAGCAGCCGTCAAGTACTACGACGTGCACGGGGTATACCAGTCCGTGGAGGCGCTGCCCAGGGCCCGCGCAGCCTTGAGAGGCTTCCGCAAGCGGGCCCCCGGCCAGTCGCGGGCGCCCCTGCCGCGGCCAGGGCTGGCGGCTCTGGTGGGCGCTGCGCTGTTCTTGGGGATGCAGGAGCTGGCGATGGCCTTGGAGGTGGCGCGGTGCGCCTACCTTCGGCTCCCCAGCGACTTGATCTCCATGACCGGCTCTTCGCTCATTCCTCCCCAGCGGTCCACGGGGGTGTCTCACTGGGCGCTGCTCCTGTACCACGAGGAGAAGCAGCCCAGGAGCAAGACCGGCCAGTGGGACGAGGGCTGCCTGCTGGACAGCGACAGGGTGACGGCGATGGGGCCGCTGCTGCAGGCGCTGGTACGTCGTGCCGGACCGAGTCAGCCGTTGTGGTCCTTCTCAGCCGCGCAATTCCGAGTGCTGTTCCGCAAGGTGGCGCAGTTGGCTGGCCTCCCGGACTTGAACCCCTACCAGGTGCGCCACGGAGCCGCCAGCGCCGACGCCCTCCACCAGAGTCGGGAGATGAAGACCATCCAGGAGAGGCTGAGGCACGCTCAAGAGTCGTCAACACGACGGTACAAAAAGCACACGAGGTATCTCCGCGAGTTAGACCAGCTGGCGGCCGACACGAAGCAGTACGGAGACTACGTGGATGCCAACTTCGAGGCGCTGATCAACAAGCGCAAGGCCGTGGCCGCGCCTCCAGGGGCAAAAAGGCCGCGGCGTTGGCCGCCGGCCAGCTCTGGCGCTCAGGAGACACTCTTGCTTCTGCCCTCCAGCTGTCGGCCGCGTCGGTCAGACGCAGGCTCAGGGCCGCGTTAGACCAGGCGCTAGGCCGCCAGCCTCGGAGGGCACAGACTTTTCTGGATCTTTTTGCTGGGACAGGCCGTGTCGGAAAATGGCTGGAGAGGTTGAGCGGATTGCCGGCCCTCCGTCTCGATGTCAAGGCTGCCCCTGCTTTTGATCTGTCATCCGACGCAGCTCTTAAAGTAGTTCGAGGTTGGATCGGGAGTCGTGTCGTGCGGGCCGTGTGGCTCGCCCCCCCGTGTTCAACGTGGAGCGTTGCCAGCCGAAACACATTCCGCACGCCTCAGCATATATATGGTCGGCCCGACCTCTCTGACAAAAACGCAGTCAAGGTACAGTTCGGCAATGCAACAGCTCTCTTTTCCGTATGTGTGGTTCGTGCGTGCTTGAAGGCAGGGATCCCAGTGGCCATGGAGAACCCCCAGTCTAGTCTCCTCTGGCAGTGTCCCGCCCTTTTAGATCTCACGCGCCTAGACAATTGTAAAGAGTTTGTCACACACACATGTGCCAACATAATCGTGCCTGGAAGAATCCCACTAAAGTCGTGGGGTGGAATGTAGGGGCTCCGCCTAAAGCACTTTGTAAACGGTGTTCTGGGGTCCTAGGGATGTGCAGTCGCACGCTCCGGCCTCATGTGGCCCTCCAGGGCCGCGGACCCGGGGACCCCAGGAACCTTACCGCCCGGGCCGAAGAGTACCCTGACTCCTTCGCCCGGGGTGCCGCTTCTTTGCTTGTGCAGGCTGCCGACAGAATCCAGCTCAATCATCTCGCGTCTTTGACTTTGTGAGCAAACTCATGCGGCTTGGCCAGAATAGATTCGGGAAGATGGGAGCGAGCGCGCTCTGTTATAAGTTCCGTTCGCAGCAAGCACCAGTGTCGTCCACCCTTGGCAGCCTGCTACCTCTCTGGAAAATCATCTGCGTTGGCAAGCGGGAGTTTTCAGAGCAGGGTCCAGTTTTTCAAACGTTAGTGCTCTAAGTTGTAGCGCAGCCGCCTCGATAAACCGATGTGCATCCATGGACATCGGGCTCAAGTGCACCGCCTCCCACCCCTCCTCCTGCTTTCCTTTCTTTCATTATATGTGTCGTCAAAGCTGGGGAGCGAGCGCGCTCTGTTATAAGTTCCGTTCGCAGCAAGCACCAGTGTCGTCCACCCTTGGCAGCCTGCTACCTCTCTGGAAAATCATCTGCGTTGGCAAGCGGGAGTTTTCAGAGCATATATATATATATATATGTATATATATATATAATCTATAGTATATATATCTATGCCACAACACCCCTCCCAAAATCTCCTTTCCCGTGCCCTGTTCCAGTCATCCCCTCCTCCTCATCTTCCCTTCTTCATCATTTTCTTACTTCCCCTCCGTTGTCCCCCCTCCTCATCGTTCCCACTTGCGTCGTTTGCCCGTGGCGAATAATGGAGCACAAGTGAAAACCATCTATTGCACGGGGTATTTGAAGTTACCAGCGCCCCCGAACTACAGCTGACGGAATAGAAGAAGGGGCGTAACGCTCCAGATCACCTTGGGGCGAAATGCTCCAGCCAGATGCGGGGCGAAATGCTCCAGGGGGCGGAATGCTCCACATCACGTAGGGGCGAAATGCTCCAGCCAGATACGGGGCGAAATGCTCCAAGGGGCGTAATGCTCCAGATCACGTGGGGGCGAAATGCTCCAGATCACGCGGGGGCGAGATGCCCCAGCCAGATACGGGGCGAAATGCTCCAGGGGGCGTAAAGCTCACACCAGTCGGAGGCAAAACAATTCCAGGCCAACGAGAGACGAAATGCTCCAGGGGAGCGCAGCAATACTGTTTGATCCTTATCTTGGTCCTCCTCCACTTCCGCGGTTCGTCCCTCTGTCCTCCCCCGCCCCCTCTTATTATCCTCCAGTCTCCATCGCTCCCGCCTTCTCGCCCCTCCTTCCTCATCCACACCAACTCCTTTTGTTTGTTGCAACGCATTCTGGCCCGAGCCTGCCTCGACGCAGAACTCGCGGCGCAGCTTCCACACACCCGCGCGGCAGCAATGCCGATGATGCTCCGCCTCGCCTCCTGGTGCGCCGCCAAAGCGCAACACCCCTTCCTCAACAAGCCCAACGCCGACATGACGGCATCCCACGCCGATCACGTGCGGCGTGCTGAAACGCCTCGCCCAATCGTCATCTCCGCCTTCTTCGCTTCCGCCGTCGCCATTGCCATCGTCGTCGTCGCCCTCTCGTCACCCGCTGCTGATGCCAGGGTCATCGCCGTTTGGGGCCAGGGCGTCTGGGAGGAGCCCCGGACGCGCGTCTTCGGTATCGGGGCACATCGCCGACTTGTCGGTGATGCATCGCCGACCCCGTGTCGTCTCTTCCGCGAATTCAGGAGGCAGTTTTGCAGGTCGAGCAACCAGCGTTCGTTGGTGCATTGTTGTCCATTCGCCAGGGCGCACGAGCTATGCCAAACCTGCGCGCCGCACATGCATGCTCAAGCGCATCGGCGCGCCAGGGGATCAGGCGCGCCTGCCCGTTCCTGGCCAGGGTCGTCGGCCAGAGCCGCGCCATGGCGCCTGGGCGCGTCTTCCCTGCGCCTAAGCGGGGCAAGGCGCGCGCTGTCCTCAAGACGGGGAAGCCCAAGCGGAAGGCCCCGAAGCACGCGGGAAAGACAACGGCGAAATAGACGGCGCCAAACCAGAGTGCGAGGAAGGTGCCTTACGTGCGGCACGGCAAGAGAACTTGCACGTCCAGGCCGGAGCGCGTTGCTTTCAAGAGGAACGTGTTCGATTTCATACGAGCAAGTGACCGCGAGATCGTCGACATGTTGCTCGAGGACCAGGTCTTGGAGAGAATTTAGGTGGCCAGTGAGAGTCAGATGTCGGACAGAGTGAAGAACGCAGTAGGAGGTGTGGACGTACAGTAGGACCGGGCGGATGGGAAAAAGTAGAAGAGAAGAAGTGAGGCAGTAGAGAGCAGATTAACTACAGGTGATAGCAGAGCAGAGTATAAAAGACAGAAAGAGGACATTATGACCGATATCAATGCCGGACGGACTAGACAGGTAATGCGAGTCGACTGACAGAACAAGAGAAGCTAGAAATTAGTAGACGGGCAAGAGGGTAAAAGCAGTCATTTGAGGTAGTAACGCGTTTTATGTGCAGACGAGCTCTATCGGTAGTAGTAAGCAACTAATATGAGGGAGGATTTTAAACAAATTCGGAACCGTGTCGTAGATAATGAAGTTAACCCAAACGGTAGCAGAGAGATGGGAACCTACGAATGAGCTTCTGTCTCCATGGAAATATTCCCCCCCCATACTACTGCTCCGCCCGTTCCCCCATAACCAGTGCTCTTTCTGCACGAAAGGAACCCTCGGCCCCCTGAAGGACGTCCAGGGCCGTGGACCGCGGTACCGCTGCAACCACAAGGGTTGCCAGAAGTTCTCCTTGCCCCAGAGCGGGCACATGGTCTTCAGCAGCGGCTCTGGCGTTGCCGCGGTGCCCTTGCAGGAACAGTCTGCCGTGCTTTTCGCTGTCGTGAACAACGCCCCCCTTGCCAAGATCCATGCGCTCACGGGCAAGAACCACAAGGCGATCGAGAGCATGAGCAAGTTCAATGATGCGTGCCGAAAGAGCGACGTGCAGCAGCAGGAGAAACTGATTTCTTTCGGAGGAAAGGGGCGGACGTGGAAAGATGTCGAGGCCGATGAGGTCGACCTCAGGGGCGATCTACTGCCTGATCACGCGGAGCGAGCTGAGAACGAGCGGGTCCAGTGGGAGCAGTGGGGCGGTGTCATCGAAAGAGGCAATCGCAAGACATTGGTGTTGACGCGCCTCAAGCCAAGCCTCACCAAGCAGAGGGCGCCAGGCCCAGGCGCGATACGCTTGCCTGATTGGACGCCGTTCGCTCACAAGAACTTGAGCAACAGGAACGTTGTGCTCCACACGGACGGGGCAAAAACGTACAAGGTCAAGGTCGAGGGGATGCTCCACGACCACGTCGTGCACCAGAGGAAGCGGCTCGTGAAGAATGGCAAGCCCGTGAAGAAGAACGGCCGCCAGGTGTGGGTGAAACCCACGTACGCCAAGAAGTTTCAGCATAAACTTCCTGGTGGACGAGTCCTCAAGTGCAAAGGCGGGACCCAGATCATCGACAGGTTCTGGCAGCACTTGCGCGGCTTCATCAAGACCAGGAAGAGCTCCGTTGGCTCGGTGTCATTGAACGCCAGGGTCCGATCGGCCCAGTGGGCGTACTGGCATGCCAGCGAGGACCTGTGGCTGGAGACTGGCAAGATGTTCAGCCGCTTGAGGGGGAAGTAGCTTGTAGACCGCAGGCTTAGGGGAGCGCGGCAGGGCGCTTATGAGTAGGCGTGGCCGTGCACGCAACCAGAAGCGCATTGCGCAGCAGAGAAATCAGATGTTCAGCCGCTTGAGGGGGAAGTAGCTTGTAGACCGCAGGCTTAGGGGAGCGCGGCAGGGCGCTTATGAGTAGGCGAGGCCGTGCACGCAACCAGAAGCGCATTGCGCAGCAGAGAAATCTTGAAGCTCACGAAACCTGGCCAGGCGTTTCTCCTGTCTCGGAGCTAAGGAAACTTTGCCAAGCGTGGTGTTTGGTTTCTCTCTAGTCTGGTGGCTCGCGATACCTGGAAAGTCGCTGGTTTTGATTGGTTTGCTGATCTGGGAGGCATGAGAACCTGTGATTTCATTGGTTTTTCTGGTTTTTCTGGTCTGGGAAGCAGGAAAACCTGTGATTTCATTGGTTTTTCTGGTTTTTCTGGTCTGGGAAGCAGGAAAACCTGTGATTTCATTGGTTTTTCGGTCACAGGTTTTCCTTCCCCCCAGACCAGAAAAACCAGAAAAACCAATGAAATCAGAAGTTTTCCTGTTTCCCAGACCAGAAAAACCAGAAAAACCAATGAAATCACAGGTTTTCCTGCTTCCCAGACCAGAAAAACCAGAAAAACAAATGAAATCACAGGTTTTCTTTGCCCCCAGACCAGAAAAACCAGAAAAACCAGTGAAATCAGAGGTTTTCCTGTTTCCCAAACCAGAAAAACCAGAAAAACCAATGAAATCACAGGTTTTCCTTGCCCCCAGACCAGAACCTCTGTCCGAGTTCTCTGCGAGGTTGTAACGGTAGTTCTCTCGCATTTGAGCGGCTTTGCGCCAGCGAGGAAGGGGCGAGGAAGATACGAGGAGAGACAGACAACTCGAACGTTCATTTGAAAACCCACCAAAAGGTAGATCTTGGGGGGGGGTGCGACCATATATATATGTGTGTATATATGTATATACAAGTGGCACGTGTGTGCCCAGGCTCATACAAAAAACTGAAGGGGCGTTTGAAGCAGGAGTGAAATGCAACATCGAAGTCGCACTCGAGCGCAAGTGGGGTTGCCACACCTTGCGATGTGTGTACCAGGGCCCCCAGGAAGCCTTAGGAGGCCCGACTTGGATACCAGAAGAGGCTCCAGGAGGCCCCAGGATTGTGAGTGTTGTGTGTGTGTGTGTGTGTGTGTGTGTGTGTGTGTGTGTGTGTGTGTGTGTGTGTGTGTGTGTGTGTGTGTGTGTGTGTGTGTGTGTGTGTGTGTGTGTGTGTGTGTGTGTGTGTGTGTGTGTGTGTGTGTGTGTGTGTGTGTGATGTATGCTTCGTGTGGTGCGTGCTTTTTGTGTGTTGTAGGTGTTGTGTGTGTGTGTGTGTGTGTGTTATGTTTGTCTAGCGTGTGATGTGTTGGGCGTGATTTGTGTCTCTGTGCGCATGTAGTTCTGAAGCCCCAGGAGGCCCCAGGAGGCCCCAGGCGGCCTCAGGAGGCCCCAGGAGACCCCAGGAGGCTTCAGGAGTCCCCAAGAGGCTCCAGGAGGCCGCAGGAGGCCCCAGGAGGCCCCAGGAGGTTTCAGGACACCCCCAGGAGGCTCCGAGGCGGGGTCTGGGGTGCCAGAAGGTTCAGAAGGCCCAGGAGGCTCCAGGAGGTTCCAGGAGACACCCAGGAGGCTCCGAGGCGGGGTCTGGGGCTCGATTTTGGAATGATTTTTCAAGCGAAACCGCCATTCACTGAGAATCGGGGTCACAATTATTGAAATTACCATGTGTTTTTGAAGGTTGTATGTTAAAATGTTGAATTTACCATGTGTTTTTGGACCCTGACGTCGCGATCTGCGTGAGGGGTGCCACCGATTTTCAGAATTTCGAGGATGTCCCGAGCGAAACGCCCAGAAAAATCGCGGACGCGTGCGCATTAATCGCATCTGAGCTCTACTCCCTCGGAGAGGTGCGTATGAGAATATATATAGATACATACATAAATATATATATATATATATATATGATATATATATATATATATATATGTATACATATATATATATATATATATATTCATATATATATATATAATATATATCCGAGAGGCTTCGCCCCCTGCCGCCGGCCCCCTCTCTCGGAGAATGGGCCATGGAAGAGCTAAGTCATGAGGCCTTGTCGCTGTCGTGAAGCAGTATCGAAACTTCATGCGAAGCCGATTCGCAATCAGCAAAACCAACTGATCACAAGAGGGGTTACCACACCTGGCGATTGGTAAGACGTGTATGGTTTACGGGCTTGGTTGCCACACCTTGCGATTAAAGGGCCGAGGGAGTTCTCGCAGTTTGGGTTACCACGCCTTGCGATGGATGTGCGTGAAGGGTGGCACCGAATTTCAGAAATGTGGCAAATCCCTTGTGTTTTTGGACCCTGACCCCGCGGATCTGCGCAAGGGGTGGCGCCGAATTTCAGAAATGTGGCAAATCCCTTGTGTTTTTGGACCCTGACCCCGCGGATCTGCGTGAGGGGTGGCACCGAATTTCAGAAATGTGGCAAATCCCCTACGTTTTTGGACCCTGACCCTGCGGATCTGCGTGAGGTGTGGCACCGAATTTCAGAAATGTGGCAAATCCCGTGTGTTTTTGGACCCTGACCCCGCGGATCTGCGTGAGGGGTGGCACCGAATTTCAAAAATGTGGCAAATCCCATGTGTTTTTGGACCCTGACCCCGCTGATCTGCGTGAGGGGTGGCGCTGAATTTCAGAAATGTGGCAAATCCGTTGTGTTTTTCCCGGAAAAGGCGCGGGCCCAGGGTTCTCTTTTAGTAGGTTAACCCCCCGGCCCCCCTGCGACTTGGGCCGGCGAAATTATTCTGCGATAAATTACGTGCGGGAGTAGGGCCGGCGAATTAAGATTTCAGGATGTCCCTAGCGAAACGCTTGTTTTTCCCGGAAAGGGCGCGGGCCCAGGGTTCTCTTTTAGTAGGTTAACCCCCCGGCCCCCCTGCGACTTGGGCCGGCGAAATTATTTTGCGATAAATTACGTGCGGAAAGAGGGCCGGCGGAATTATTCCCGGAAAGGGCGGGGGCCCTGGGTTCTCTTTTAGTTGGTTAACCCCCCGGCCCCCCTGCGACTTGGGCCGGCAAAATTATTTTGCGAGCGGGCACGCACGGAGTAGGGCCGGCGAAATTATTCCCGGAAAGGGCATGAGCCCAGGGTTCTCTTTTAGTGGGTAAACCTGTCCCCCGGTGCCAACTTGAAGGAGGCCGGCGAATTTTTTCCCTGATAAATATTGAGGTCGAAGGAGGCCGGCGAATTAAAATTTGAGGATGTCTCGAGCGAAACGCTTGTTTTTGAAATCCCGATCGATAAATCACAGGGTGCGGGCCACTTTTTCGTGCGTTGAGGATGTCTCGAGCGAAACGCTTGCTCCGCAGAGTTTGCCGTGGATGTCTCGAGCGAAACGCTTGTTTTGCAGAGCCGACCGCGACGCGGAAAAGCGCCCCGCGCGAAGGAATTTCGATGATGTTTCGACTAATTTGTTTGTTTTTGTACGATTTCCTGGAATGTTGGCAGGATGTCTCGAGCGAAATGCACGACCCCACCCTAGCACGACCATACCCCAGCACGACCACACCCAGCACGACCAACCCCAGCACGAAGTAGTTCAACCCCACCCCAGCACGACCCCACCCCAGCACGACCAACCCCCACACGTGAGCACCCCAGCACGCGACCGACCCCACACGACCCCACCCCAGCAAGACCACACCCCAGCACGACCGCACCCCAGCACGACCTTACCACAGCACGACCACACCCCAGCACGACCACGCCCCCGCACGACCACGCCCCAGCACGACCACGCCCCAGCACGACCACGCCCCAGCACGACCACGCCCCAGCACGACCACCCCCCAGCACGACCACACCCCCAGCACGACCCCCCCCCAGCACGACCACCCCCCAGCACGACCACACCCCAGCACGACCACACCCCAGCACGACCACACCCCAGCACGACCACACCCCAGCACCAGCACGACCACACCCCAGCACGACCCGATCGATAAATCACAGGGTGCGGACCACCCCAGCACGACCCCACCCCAGCACGACCCCACCCCAGCACGACCCCACCCCAGCACGACCACGCCCCAGCACGACCACACCCCAGCACGACCACACCCCAGCACGACCACTCCCCAGCACGACCCCACCCCAGCACGACCCCACCCTAGCACGACCACACCCCAGCACGACCACACCCCAGCACGTCCCCACCCCAGCACGATCACACCCCAGCACGACCCCACCCCAGCAAGACCACACCCCAGCACGACCGCACCCCAGCACGACCTGACCACAGCACGACCACACCCCAGCACGACCACGCCCCAGCACGACCACGCCCCAGCACGACCACGCCCCAGCACGACCACGCCCCAGCACGACCAGCCATGGGGGGGGGGGGGGGGGGGGGGGGGGGTCCAGCACGACCACCCCCCAGCACGACCACCCCCAGCACGACCACCCCCCAGCACGACCACCCCCCAGCACGACCACACCCCAGCACGACCACTCCCCAGCACGACCACACCGCCTTGGTTGAGTGGTTGCCTGTCGTCGTGGAAAGTTTCGTGGGGTGTCTCGTGGAATGTTTCGCGGGGTGTCTCCTGGAATGTTTCGTGAGGTGTCTCGCGGAATGTTTCGTGAGGTGTCTCGTGGGATGTTTCGTGAGGTGTCTCGTGGGATGTTTCGTGAGGTGTTGCCCCGTTGGGTATCGTGAAAACGTGCCCATGCTCCACATGTCTATATCCCTTTCCGGGTTCGTGGGTCCATCATGTTTTTGAGGATGTCTCGAGCGAAACGCTTGTTTTTCAGAATTTGTTGAGGATGTCTCGAGCGAGACGCTGGTTTTGCAGAGTTGGGGATGTCTCGAGCGAAACGCTTGGTTTCAGAATTTGTTGAGGATGTCTCGAGCGACACGCCGGTTTTGCAGAGCCGACCGCGACACGGA